TATGGCCAACCCCTGGCTGCTGTGGTGTGGCTCAATTGGTTGTGCATCATCCTGTGTACTAAATGGTTCAATTCTGGGCAGGGCACATGCCTGGGTTTCTGGCTAGATCCCCAGTAGGGGGTGTGCAGGAGACATCGGATCGATGTTTCACTCTCACGTGGATGTTTCTCTCTCCCTCTCCAGTCTCTCTAAAATTCAATTTAAAAAAACCAACAACACAGAATGGCCTAGGTACATATACATATAAGCCATTAGAATTTTCGGACAAATTATACCCTCCTCTCGTTTTCAACAGCACTAGTGTTTTATTTACCAGAAAGCAAAATAACTGAGTTATATCTCAGCTCACAGGAGAAAACACCTATTCTGAGCCTGGGTTTAATGGTGTATTTTTTATTAGACAGACTAAAGAGCATTTCGGCACTTCACCAAGTCACAGGGACGAGCACTGCACGCGGTGCTACTGAGAACCCCCTCCAGGTCCTCCACTCAATCCTCCTTAAGGGAGGCGTCTGAGACTGTTTTGTTAACAAGAACTCCAGGTGGTTTTTATTATCAGACATGTCTGGGAAACTCTAGATTAGATGAGGCCTAATGTCTTTCCTTCTGAGATTTGGTAATCCTGAGAAAAATTAAATTATTAGAAATGGCATCCATATTGCTATACAGAAGAAATTAATTTCTGCTCATATATTTCTTAAAGTACTCAGCACTCTGAATGAATCAGAACTACTTACACTTCTTTCCCACTGAAGGGTGTTGTCCAGAAAGGTAGAAATCTTGATTTATTTAGTACTCTTTGTGTCCCTAGTAAATAACACTGTGACTGGCATAAAATAGATGCCTAATAAATTTTGAACGAATGACTATCTCAATTGCAGCAGCTAGCTGCCAATTTTATCCACATAGTCTTCCCTCCATTCAGGCCAAAAAACAGTACCCAGTGCCCTGACTCAAAACGTTATTGGAGCAGCAAGACTAAAATAAAAACCAGTAATTCTATATTCAAAATTCAGCACTTATTCTTTGAATGCATGATCAAGGCATAATATTTAGTACTTGATATCAACTATACTTGAATATGAATGGAGAACTTTTATGAGAATGGTATCAATGCATGGGGAAAATATGGATTCACACTATCCCAGGATCAATTTTCAAGACAAACAGAAATACCCTGTCTGAGAAACTATTAAAGAATTTCTGTAATAACTGAAATGAGTCTATTTTTCTGGTGCACAAAAACTCCTTAGAGCCCTTTTGGAACAAAAGCAAAATAATTCGATGGCGAATGCATACGACCAATTTAATTCTCTTTTTACATAGTTAAAGAAAAAGGAGATGTAAGAAAAACATTTTTACTAAGTCAAACGATTAGGTTATTTCTCACCAGTAGAATATTCATCGTGCCATAAGATACAGACTAAGAGCAGAATAATGTATCTATGTTTGTGGCCGAGCTTTTTCCTTTATATATGCCAAGTGTATTTCAGGTTTGTACTTGCAATAAACAGAAAAGACTGCCACCCACCTGGCCCATTCGCTATGACTTTCCTCAACTCAGACTTCATTCATAAAAACTTCCCAAAAGAATTAAGGCCTCTGTATAATGCTGTTCTCAATAGAGCAAAAGTATGTATTAGGAAGTACACAAAGAAATTTTAATGACTCTATAATCAAATGAGCTTCACTCAACAGTTGTCTCATTTGTCACCCACTTTTATCCTTCTCCTAACTGAACAATTATCATTCTGGCAAGAACTCCACCATTGAAATAGCAGCCTGAAATAGCAAGATATTTTCATATTATAAAGTCAATATTCTTGGAGGAGGACAGATTATGCTGATTTCAATTGTCAAACATTACCAGTTGTGAGTTTGTGGTAATACTGTATGTGGAATTCACCCAAGTATTTGGTATTATTTTACTTTTTGAGAGTCCACTGTATTTGACTATCTTATGTCTTACAAGATATATATATATATATATATATATATATATATATATACACATACACACATATATACACATATATATACACATATACACATATACACATATACACACACACACACATATATATACAGGAACTCTGAGTATTTTCTAAAATGCTGCAAGTTGTTATCATCTGGAATATAAGAAGCCAAGCTATGCAGTGTAGTTCTTCCTTTTCCATATGCACCTCAAAGTATGGATTCACATTCACTTTATGCACAACCAACCACCTACGCTGGGTGGATAGTATTTAACCTCAAGTCCCCTTTAATCGTGTCTGTTTCTTCTCCCTCAGGAGGAATTAGCTCATGCACTCATCTGTTTTCCTTCTCTCTCTTACCTCACAAAGTTCAGCAAATGTTACTTCTGACCATCTGTTCCTTACATATATACACCATTTCTATAGCTTTCTTGCCCAATATACTTTACCTCTTAAGCAATTACCTCAGCAGCGACATTAATAACAAAAATCTCACCCCACCCTCTGTTTCACACATAAAATGAGAAAACCAAGAGTGATATCACTCTCACACAGACCTCTCCAAAAGCATTACTTTTTTAGAATGAAATTGGATGTAATACAGACCTACCTGAGAAATTCTTTAAGGTGCCCATAGCTCACATTAAGAATCACCATAAAATCTATCATCTGTTTAACTTTCTGCCATTTGACCCTCTTTTCTTTAAGCATGGAAAATTTAAAAATAGTTCTTACTATCTTGAATTGATTTTCTTTTTCAACTAAGTTTATCTAAATATTTCAGTATCCATTCATTGCAATCTAGTCACCATTAAATAGCCTTGGGCGGGGGAGGCGCGGTAAACTGGGAATCTAACCCCTTCCAATAGTGTTTTAATGGGACTATGTGATTCTCATTAAAAAATGAGTGTATCCAAATCTACACATGTTAGAAAGATGGTAAATAAAGACCACAGAAACACTGAAATTGCTACACCTGCACTATTTGAAAGTTAATAAGTTTTAAAAATTGAGTGATCTTATCATCTGGATTCAGATTTTTCCTGTGTAGCTTCATCCTCCATTAGCCTTGATGGTATTTGCGCTCTGTGTCCATTTCAAGATTACAAAGACAGGTAGAAATGCCATTTCAAATATTTCATTTGGATACAGTTGTTACTGCCATAAATTCTATTCTCCTGTCATTCAATCTGCCCTGTCCCCCTGTCACTCTCCTGAAGCAAAGATGGGAGTAACAAACCATGTGGAAAGGAGAGAGAGAGAGAGAGAGAGAGAGAGGTATTAGGGGTAGAAAAAAAGGAACATGGAGAAATTTTTTAAAATATATAAAAAGCCTAGTTTCTGGTCTTGAGAATTAAAGACAAGCTTCTATGTAAATTCTAAACAATAACTTCTGGAAATGGAAGATGTTCTCTGCCACTTCTGTACTTAGCCAATTTGTTCTTATTGCTTTTAGTATGTTTTTTAGTGATTCCAACACATTCCACCACAAGGAAAAAAGTTTGACTGTGGTGGTTCTAAATTAAATGCCTCTGTTAAATTATGCAATTTTGAAACATTAAATTTATATATAAATGAATATATATATATATATATAATATACATTTAAAATGCAACGTATCCATATATAAAATGGAAACATGGTTTTTAAGTTCATCTCAACAGAAAAGATAAGAAGATACACTTTACTATACTCTCATTGTGATGAGCAATGCAGCTCACACAGGGCTATCTGTGAGGGTGGGGCGGGGCAGGGCGAGAGCAGGCAGGGGAAGGAACAGGAACAGCAGGTTAGACAGTGGTTGCCAAGTGCAGTCCCCGGGCAACAGTAGCATCAACCCTCAAAAATCACAATTATTGGGCCCCACTCCAGACTACTGAGTCAAAAACTATGGGCATGGGCTTGATTTGGACAATCCTTTCCAAAGATGCTAAGGCATGGTAAAGTTTGAGAACCTCTGTGCTGCAGGGACTCAGCGATAAGAGGCCCAGGTAACACTTCATCTGCTTATCCAGATGTCAATGCCAATTACACATCATGACTGTGACTAAAGGCTCTGGAATAGCTTTGCTACATCAGTTAGAATCAACAATCACAGTTACACTCTGCAATCAATTCCAGTTCCAAGTTCAACACACAAGCTGGTGGCCCACAGGGAGTGCGGGGAAAGATGGATGAGGCCAGCACATTTCAGAGCAGCTAATCTGGGTGTGGCACTCCACAGAGTGAAACTCTTGGCAAAAGATTTTCCTTTCCAAACTCTGAATATAATATTACATTAGCTTCAATCTTGGACGTTGGATAGAAAGAAGTAAGTAAATGCTCCTATAATAACCCAAATGGAAAATTCTTTTAAAATGTTTTCATGCTAAACATGTGCTTTCTGATCCGACCGCATCATTCTTAAGACTTGGATTGTGTTTGTGCCAAAAGTGACACCCTGTTCCCGGAGGCATGGGTGTCGGCAATGCTGGTCACAGCACTACACCAGCCACATGTTACCCTGGATTCGGAGGAAGCAGGTGCTGAGATTATAATTAACTATGTATATAGGAAACAGGAGGGACAGCAAAGAAGGGTGGGGAGGAAGAATATCCTTCCTGTGGGTCAAAAGATGAAGGAGTGAGTCCACACGCTAACGTTCAAGGCCCACAGAACCATTTAAGAGCATACAGACACTCATTAGGTAAGAAAGGCTATGGGTATGAATTAGATGCCTACATCATATTTAATAAAAATGTATAACTTCACAAAGTTCTACCCAAATGTTTCCTTAGAAGCAGAGGAATGAAAACCCAGTGCTCAGATAACAACACAAACAAAATCAGTTGCCCAGAAAGCCAACTGGGTTATGTAACAGAGGACACACTGTAGAACACAAAATTCAAAATTCATTATATCAAGCAATCTTCATCAGAAAAACAAACAGTCCTTTCATGACCTAAATTTCTGATTTGAAGCAATCCAAAGCAACATCTTTCATATAAAGTCTACTAATGGTTTTAAAAAGCAATCAGACTGACCGGGCTGCACTGGCGAGCTCATCGTGGGAGTCAGGAGGAGGACTGATGGGCGGGATGTGGATTCACAGCCTTCCTGCAGCTGGCAATTTCGGTCCCGAGGGGCTGGGGGAAGAGAAACCTAGAATGCAAGAAAAATCAATGTGGATGATATAGCTTATGTCGAGCCACAAAGGAAAAGAAACAGTCTCAGCTCAGCCACAACGCCACCGCAGGTCTTTGAGGCAGTCACATCAACCTTTCAAATGTCTTAAATCTTCACCAATAATGATCTATATCAATACATATTATTTAATATAGATATATATTATATAGAGATGTATAATTAACATTATTTATACATTTATTATAATTTCACCTGTAAAAGAGCAAATTACCAGTCATGCTTAAAAGAGGAATATTATGAACACCAAAATAAAAGAAAATCTGAGAATTATAATGTTTCCTATTTACTAGTCACTATCATTTTTTTTATTATCGTTATTATAGAAATTTAAAATAGTTTTTGGAATTTGGGATATGAGTATCTCATTACATAGTATTTTTATCATTGTCAAAGATTTCCTTCTAGAGATAAGACTTCTTGGCAAAGGAATTTTAATGGACTAAAAAAAGGAATAAGTAAACCATAAATTATAAGAGTGACAGAATACTCCCATCACAATTTCCACTTTTTCTTGAAGACTTTTACAACCGTTTTCCAGCCAGAAGTAATAACAGCCATAGTCCTTCCAAGAGTGGCACTTACAGGATGGACTTCTTGACAGGAATTTAGGGGACTTTTTGCTTTTAATTCGAATGCACTCTCACTGCTAGACATTTCGGCAAAGGAAAAGCAATTGGAAGGACAGTTTCCTCACGGTTTACTGGAACTTGTCAAAGTTTAAAAAAAGAAGAGGAGGAAGAAGAAGAAGCTTTTAAAGTTGCACTTAATGAGTTTCATGCAAAAATAGTATAACCCAATTGCACTATTTTTATACAAAGAATGCTGTTAACTCTGAGAATTATGCATCTCTTTATCTTGAGAATCCAACATATTTATTGTGATTCATTTTCTCATCCGTATTTTGAAAGTGTTATTACTATTTTTTGCCCAAATGTATAAAGCAGGATATAAATAAGTATTTCCTTTGAAGAACTATGTAACCTCACCAAGAATATTTATAATATTGTAAATGGTCTCTAAATAGAAATATGCTCATTAAAAGAGTTAAATAGATTTATCAGTTGTAGCAGGCGACTTCTCATCACATCTTTAGTGCTAGATATATATTAAGATTTCGCAAGTAAAATATATATTTTCATAAATCTTTAAAGTTTTACTGATGTACTTATTTTGTCAACATGATTTAAAGAATCTTAATTTGTGCCCAGCTGTTTTGGCTCGGTGGCTGTGTGCCAACCTATGAACCAGGAAGTCACAGTTTGATTCACAGTCAGGGCACATGCCTGGGTTGTGGCTCGATCCCCAGTGGGGAGCATGCAAGAGGCAACTGATCATTGATTGTCTCTCATCATTGATGTTTCTATTTCTCCCTTCTCTAAAATCAATAAAAATATTTTTAAAAAAGAATCTCAATGTCCATGTGATCAGAAAGCAATATTTCTGGAAAAAATGAAAAAGGCAGAGCAGAAAATTCTTTGAGTTCTGTATCAGCAGAACTCTGACTTTGGCTTCTAAATTTAAAAATGTCCACATCATATTTTAAATTTAAAAATCTGTTGCATACTTCTTAATAGTTGCAAAGTACTTTTAGACCACATTTTAAGTCGTTTTCACATCAACCATACTAATAGGTACTTATAACTCTTCCTACACCTTCTTCATGAGTGAGAACATTGAGAGGTCATCTGCTTCTTAATTAAAAGGTAATAAATCAAAATTAAAATTAAGCCCTAACCGGTTTGGCTCAGTGGATAGAGCGTTGGCCTAGGGATGCAAGGGTCCCAGGTTCGATTCCGGTGAAGGACATGTACCTTGGTTGTGGGCACATACCCAGTGGGGCATGTGCAGGAGGCAGCTGATCGATGTCTCTCTGTCATTGATGTTTCTAACTCTCTATCCCTCTCCCTTCCTCTCTGTAAAAAATCAATAAAATATATTTTTAAAAAATTAAAATTGAGTAAGATTTTTATTTATAGAGCACCTAAATTAATGAGTGTGGACTTTGAATTTTTGCCATTATTTTACTTTGTTACATTACAATCTGAAACATTTCATAAATGCTCTTGATGCATATTTTCTTTTTAATGTTTTTTAAAAATGACTTTTGAGAGAGGAAGGGAAAGGGAAAGAGAGAGAGAAACATTGATGTGAGAGAGAAACATCAATTGGTTGCCTCTAGCACACACCCCGATCAGGTATCAAACCCGCAACCTGCACAGGTGCCCTGACTGAGAATAAAACTGGCAACCCTCAGGTGCATGGGATGATGCTCAACCAACTGAGCCACATTTGCCAGGGCTATTTTTTAAATATTTTAATTGATTTTTTTTGTATACAGAAAAAGAAGGTAGAAGAAGAGAGAGTGAATCTTGCTATAGTCTTGATTCTTAATGGCATGGTTTGATTTCAAATTAAGAATAACCAAAAGCAAGGGACAGGAAACCTTAAGAGAACATAAGTACAGCAGCACTGAAAGATGCCTTCCATCGGGGCACAGTTACCCTGTGTTTAAACAAACAAACAAATTAATCTATAATGTCACTTGGTACAATTGATGCTTATAAATTTACAAATACAACTCAATTTAACTAATGATCTCCAACAGTTAACAGTAGTAATACTACACTGTTACTACTTGTCCCAAAATCTAACATGAAAAGGATGTTTCTATTTCTACCATGTCTGCCTCTTATTTCCACAAATATAAATAATGACATGCCGATGTATGGCTAGTTACATAATTGTTGGGTTTTTGCCTTCAGAGCTCTAGACTTGAGTTGCAAAGTTAATCACAGATGGAAATACACATTCTACTTCTAAAATAACATCATTAAATACCTTTTTAAAATGTAAACTACTCTCTTTGCCATTCAATCTTTTTGATAACTTCCCAATCCTGACATATCTTCTAACATTATGAAAGCCTTGTTATCTGAACAATTATAAAGAAAATTAATATGCATTTCTATATTGATATGTACTTGTTTCCAGTTATTGCACCTCCATTTTTAATGAGCCAAAGTTGTCACAACCAAAGCTGCATAACTGAAATGATTCCTAAACGAGCCTTCCTAAAAGATTCAGAGGTACTGATTCTCTATGCATACATGCGTGTGTGTTGTGTGTGTGTGTGTGTGTGTGTGTGTGTGTGTGTGTATGAGAGAGAGAGAGCGCGCGTGCGAGAGAGAGAGAGAGAGAGAGAGAGAGAGAGAGAGCAAGCGAGAGCGAGCGCGCGTGCATATGTGCATATCAACTATCTAAATTTTCCTTTCCTGGTGGCTAACAAATCAAAAGATTAGCAGCCCTAATGCACATCTTTTAGGGACAAAATTGATTTAAAAAATTTTACAAATGAAGCCCATTTTTAGTTGCTCAGAAAGAAAGAGGGGTCGGTGGAGAACATCTGTCAATCAGGTTGGGCCATTTGTTCTTAAATCTTCCCACAATTCTTTATCCAATGGGCTTCAGAGAATCACACATTTTCTGAGAATGGGGATATTTTCCCTAGTATATGAGTCATTTTTACAATAATCCTCAACTAAAAATTATAGGAAACTGGCCTTCAAGTGGGTAGATAAATGAAAAAAGTGAAAAGAACAGAAAAAAAAGTAATGCTGATTGCGAATACATATTATCAAAGCAGATATAGGACTGTATCTGTTTTTAATTAATAGTTTCAATTAATTTTCACATTAATTTGCCTATACTATAAAAATATGTACACATTTAAGGAGATAAACACAAACACAGCAGGAGTAAAACTGTTGCTATGAATCCTTTACCTACTGAGATCTAAGAACTGTTGCTTTGGCTCTTGACTATCCTTGAGCTACCTGGATCCACAATAAGAAACTAAGAGTCTTTGCTTCAAAATGACCATCTCTGACTGCAAGTCAGTCAGAGGCCTGCAGGCAGGTTACTGCTATACTATCCTGAGATACAGCACAGGGTAACAGCCTAAGAGGTGACATCCTGCAATGTCTTATATTGCCTATGAAAATCTAAGAGAGGGCGCTATCACATCACATTGCCCCAGCCCACATTGCTCTCATTATCTCTGTGGTCGTGATTCTGTAAGTCCTTTAACTATTCCACCCACATGGCAAACCAGCAGAGCCTTATACATCAGGAAGAATTGGCCCAAGGACTATCTCCTCTGATAATCACAACAGCCCTTTGGAGTATAGTGAGTAAGGCATTATTATCCCCATTTCATAGCTAGGAATTGGGCGCTTAGAGAGCTTCAGGAATGTGTTCACAGACATGCAGGTGGTAAATGAGAGGGCTAGTCTTCTGACTCTCGGCCCAGTGCTCTCTTGGGTTGCATCACAAGGAATTGCAGGCCATTCTGGCCGAGCTACTTGAGTATCAAGACTGTCTAACCAGTCATCACAATTCTGATAATGAGTCATTGAGTTACAGGTCTAAAGAGCCTATTTAGCCAGTGAATAGACTGAATTCAGATACAAAGATGATAAAATAAATAGTTAAAATAAATGTCTGGAAGAGACCTCACAGCATAAGCTTTCAAATCTGACTTAGATGTCATGTTCCTACCACAATCTTTCTGTTGGTTTTTTAACTGTAGTCTGAGCTTCTTATTACAGTTTTCTTTTTTTTTTCCTTTTGGGCAATTGGTATTATTTTTGACAGTGTGCCACTGAGGAAGCAGAATGCTGTTGTAGTCTATGTAGCTAGCAAAAGCTATGTGTCTCTAATAAATCTCTAATACATCTCTCCCAGATTTAGGGCAAGTGGTAATGCACAGTTCACTTGGCAGGTCCTTTTCTTCTCAGATGGAGCCATTAGTTCCAGTTCCTCTAAAGAGGAGGCTTCATGAGCTGACTCAATTCAGAATATCCACTGCAGAGATAGTTCATTAGTGGAATAAGCCTACTGTGCCAGTTCATTGAATATCAGGAGGTTCTTCAGACCCACAATCTCTCTCTCTCATG